GCGCCCGCCACCATACCTGGCTAATTTTTTGTATTTTTAGTAGAAACGGTGTCTCACCATGTTAGCCAGGATGGTCTTGATGTCCTGACCTCGTGATCAGCCTGCCTCGGCCTCCCAAAGTGCTGGGATTACAGTCGTGAGCCACCATGCCCGTCCAGGAAAGGGGGTTTCCTCTTCCTTTAGGCATGGTACAGTTCTGTCTCTACCTTGCCCTCCCCTGGCATCTAGTCAGAAAGATTTCATTCTCTTTTTTTTTTTTTGAGATGGAGTTTCACTCTTGTTGCCCAGGCTGGAGTTCAGTGGCACAATCTCAGCTCACCACAACCTCTGCCTCCCGGGTTTAAGTAGTTCTCCTGCCTCAGCCTCCCGAGTAACTGGGACTACAGGCATGTGCCACCACGCCCGGCTAATTTTGTATTTTTGGTAGAGATGGGGTTTCACCATGTTGGCCAGTCTGGTCTCAAAACTCCTGACCTCAGGTGATCCACCCGCCTCGGCCTCCCAAAGTGCTGGGATTATGAGCATGAGCCACCACGCCCAGCCGATTTCATTCTGTTTACTGTTTCCTAATCTTCCTTATATTCACAGTCATCGTCTTTCTCCAAGATGCCATCAAAGCAGAATGGTAAAAACCTAAGGTCAGCCTGGGTGCAGTGCACATATCCCAGCACTGCGGGAGGCCAAAGCGGGTGGATCACTTGAGATCAGGAGTTCGAGACCAGCCTGGCCAACATGGTGAAACCCTGTCTCTACTAAAAAAATACAAAAATTAGCCGGGTGCAGTGGTGCACACCTGTAATCCCAGCTACTCAGGAGGTTGAGGCAGGAGAATTGCTTGAACCCAGGAGGCAGAGGTTGCAGTGAGCCAAGATGGTACCACTGCACTCCAGCCTGGGCGACAGAGTGAGACTCCGTCTCAAAAAAAAAAAACAACAAAATATAAACCTAAAGTCAATAATAGCTTGACTGAGGAGGGAGGGCAGGCTCCTGACATCGCAGGTAGCCTCTCTCTCACTTCCCAGTCATAATCTTTTCTTCTGGGGTCTGGGTATCTCACTTTCCTGATTTTAGATTCTACTTGACACACCTGGCATTATCAGTCCTGGTAAACAGAAGAGGTAATGGTGGTGGAATTGGGGTGGATATGGGGGGAGGTACTGAAACAGGGTGGGGAGATTCCATTATAGGGGCTGGAAAACCCCTTTACCATACAACATCCCTCATCAGAAATGCCTGAGTCATAAGACCCTTCCTGACTGATGTATGTCTGTCCCTCAGGCATCACCTGGAGCTCTCTTTGCTGGAAGATCCATGGAAGAGCATGGAATCTGCTGATCTTGGTTAGGTTCAGGATGGGAACTTTAAGCCCAGTTTACAGGGGTCATGGCCTTTCATTCCTTGGTAGTTTGTGGGGCGAAAGCCAAGCCCATACCATGTAAGTTTTTGTCAGGGCAGGAGGAAGAGTGACCATTTCCTTTTCCTTCTTCTTGCCTTGCCATCTTCCAGTTGTGGTTCTTGTGGATGTCTCAGACAAGTGGACACGGAACCAGCTCAGCCCTCAGTTGCTCAGGTGCTTGACCAAGTTCTCCCAGATCCCTAGTGTCCTGGTCATGAACAAGGTGAGCACTACCCATCCGAGGAAGGGGTCTACTTCCCTCCAAGTTGCCTATCTCTGACCACACACCCTTTGCCCATCCCCCATGTCCAGATAGATTGTCTGAAGCGGAAGTCAGTTCTCCTGGAGCTCACGGCAGCCCTCACTGAAGGTGTGGTCAACGGCAAAAAGCTCGAGATGAGGCAGGCCTTCCACTCACAGCCTGGTACCCGTTGCCCCAGCCCAGCAGTTAAGGACCCACACACACTATCTGTGGGAAACCCTCAGAGGATTGGCTGGCCCCACTTCAAGGAGATCTTCATGTTGTCAGCCCTAAGCCAGGAGGATGTGAAAACACTAAAGGTCAGTTAGTCTTGGCCATAGCCTGGCCCTTGGTTTCTACCATATGAAGACAGCCCTCTAATTTCCTCCTGGAAGCAAAAATGAGGAGAAAAGTCCTGGTTGGGATTAAGATGCCCGTCTATTCCCTCTGTTCCCACAGCAATACCTCCTGACACAGGCCCAGCCAGGGCCCTGGGAGTACCACAGTGCAGTCCTCACTAGCCAGACACCAGAAGAGATCTGCACCAACGTTATCCGAGAGAAACTCCTAGAGCACCTGCCTCAGGAGGTGCCTTACAATGTACAGCAGGTACAGAGTGAAGGGTTCTGGGGGCTCTCTACCAGACACACACCTTTACCCAGGAGTATGACTGACTAATCTTTTGTCTCCCTGTACAGAAGACGGCAGTATGGGAGGAAGGACCGGGTGGGGAGCTGGTTATCCAACAGAAGCTTCTGGTGCCCAAAGAATCTTATATGGTAAGTGAGATTAGGCTCAGAGGAGAGATCAAGACTATGTTTGACAGGAGTTCTTCCCCTAGCTTGGAGCCCTGAGAGCAGGACCATGTCCTTCTCTCTTTTTTCTTTTTCTTTTCTTTTTTTTGAGACAGTCTCTGTCACTGAGACAGAGTCACTGTCACTGACAGTGCTCTGTCACTGAGGCTGGAGTACAGTGGTGGGATCACAGCTCACTGCAGCCTTGACTTCCCACGCTCAAGCAATCCTCCCGCCTCAGCCCCCTGAGGAGCTGGGATCAGCTAATTTTTTTATTTTTTTTTTTTTTTGAGACAAAGTCTGACTCTGTCATCCAGGCTGGAGTGCAGTGGCACGATCTCTGCTCACTGCAACCTCTGCCTCCTGGGCTCAAGTGATTCTCCTGCCTCAGCCTCCCAAGAAGCTGGGATTACAGGTGCCCACCACCACGCCCAGCTAATTTTTTGGTTTTTTTTTTTTTTTTTTTTTGAGACAGAATCTTGCTCTGTGCCCCAGGCTGGAGTGCAGTGGCGTGATCTCGGCTCACTGCAAGCTCCGCCCCCCCGGGTTCACGCCATTCTCCTGCCTCAGCCTCCCGAGTAACTGGGACTACAGGCGCCCGCCACCTCGCCCGGCTAATTTTCTTGTATTTTTAGTAGAGACGGGGTTTCACCGTGTTAGCCAGGATGGTCTCGATCTCCTGACCTCGTGATCCGCCCGTCTCGGCCTCCCAAAGTGCTGGGATTACAGGCTTGAGCCACCGCGCCCGGCCTAATTTTTGTATTTTTAGTAGAGACGAAGTTTCACCATGTTGGCCAGCCTGGTTTCGAACTCTTGAACTCAAATTGTCCGCCTGCCTCAGCCTCCCAAAGTGCCGCCTGACCATCCGCTAGTTTAAAAAAAAGTTTTGTAGAGAAAGGGTTTCACTATGTTGCCCAGGCTGGTCTCAAACTCCTGGGCTCAAGCAGTCCACCCACCTTGGCCTCCGAAAGTGCTGGGATTAATGGGTGTGAGCCACTGCACCTAACCCTCTCCTTTTTTAATTTTTTAATCTCTTTTGAGCCAGGGTCTTGCTCTGTCACTCAGGCTGGGGTGCAGAGGCGCAATCTCAGCTCACTGCAACTTCTGCCTCTCGGGTTCAAGTGATTCTCCTGCCTCAGCCTCCCAAGTAGCTAAGATTACAGGTGCCCACCACCATGCCCAGCTAATTTTTTGTAGAGACAGGGTTTCACCATGTTGACCAGGCTGGTTTTGAACTCCTGACCTCAGGTGATCTGCCCGCCTCAACCTCCCAAAGTGCTGGGATTACAGGCATGAGCCACCGCACCCGGCCACCCTCTCTTTTTTTTAAAGAAGGGTTGCACTTTTACCCAGGCTGAACTCAAACTCCTGTTCTCAAAGGATCCTCTCACCTCAGCCCCCCGAATAGCTGGGACTACAGGCATGTGCCATCATTCCTGTCTTCCTTCTCTTTCATATACCCTCAGAAACTGCTGATTGGTCCGAAGGGCCATGTGATCTCCCAGATAGCACAGGAGGCAGGCCGCGACCTCATGAACATCTTCCTCTGTGATGTTGACATCCACCTGTCTGTGAAGCTCCTCAAGTGACCACCCTCTACTGATCCTCCCAGGACATTCCAGCTCAAGCTGCTGGCAGGAACTGACCAGATCTGTCCTTGGCTGGGGACCCTCCAGGGACTGGTGAGAGACATGAACACTGACTGGCTGCTAGCTGGCCTGGCCCTGCTGAGTCTGCACAGTCCCTGCCCAGCTGTGTCTCCTGTTGGAAGAAGGAACTGGCCTTAGCTCAGTTTCCAGGTGGTTCCTCTGCCTGGGACCACAGCTACAAAGGTGTAGCTAAGAAGATGGCTCATTGGTGGGAGCAATATCACCCTACCTCCAGCTAGCTATGGGCCCAGAGTTTCTCCCTGAGTCGCTGTTGCTGGTAGGGAGATTTTCTCTTCCCGCCCTCACTTCCTTCACCTTGAACTTGGATAAGAACTCGTGTCTCCTGAATGAGGTTGCGCCTTCCATCTGCTCCCCAATTCTTGATCTCTCCCACCCCATCCCTCTCCCCAGTCTTGGATACTAATAAAAGACAGGCATTCTGGTTCTCATCTTTATTCCTTTTATTTATTTATTTTTATTTTTTAATATTAGGGACTGAGTCTCACTATGTTGTCTAGGCTGGTCTCAAACACCTGGGCTCAAGAAATCCTCCTGCCTTGGCCTCTGAAAGTGGTGGGATTACAGGCTTAAGCCACTGTGCCTGGCCTCATCTTTATTTCTTTACAACAGGAAAGAGAACATGTATCTATTCCCTCCCCTACCCGCCATCCCATGCCCTCACCCCGCCTTGTTTGAGCTGGAGTCTCCCTTCCAGTAGTCAGCTCCAGGGTCCTGAGTTCTCTTCCTGGCACGTTTTCTGGATATAGCAAGAGAACCCTTACCATTACTAAACTCAGTAATGGTAACGGTTTCCTTGCCATTCCCAAGTGCCCTGGCAGTCAGTAGGCTGTGACAGGCTGAGCGGAGAGCTTCTTGGGCTTGCAGCATCTCTCCTGTCCTCCTCGTCAGGCTCCAGAGCTGGGGGTGCCCGGACTAGTACATCATCTATACTGTAGTGTCTCATCACAAACTTACAGTATATGATGATATCCCAGCCAGGGCCCCACTGAGGGTACAGGAAGCATGGCTTGAAAAGTACTGTGGGGGGCTGGGGGCAGAACAGAACAGGTCAGGGCTGGACACACACAGCTCCCTGCTCCCTGCTCTACGGCTCCCTCCCTGGCCAGCATCTCCTTGATTCTGTGGTCAGGCACAGCCCAGGTGGGTTATGGGAAGGGGAGTGGAGCTAGGGTCTGTTGAGATCTCGTAGGGACCCAGGGCCAGTGTTAAAACAAGCCAGAGATGGCATAATGATGCAGAAGGTTCCCTTTGGTCAGACCAACAAGCAGACAAGCAGACAGACCCAGAGAAGGTGCACTTACCTAGAGCTGGAGCTGCAGACTGAGGAGGCCTTTGGATGCAGGGAGGATCTGTCCCTTCCTCTTCCTTGAGCTGCTTTTGAGCTGCTTGCCTTTTAACATACCGGTCCCTCCTCTGGGTGGGGCACTTCTCCTGGCCCTGCCTCTTAACCCTTGCCCTGCTAGAGTCTACGAAACAAGGGTCACTGGCCCCTCTCCCTAGAAGGCCTTTTTTCTTTTCTTTTTTTTTTTTTTGAGACGGAGTCTCGCTGTGTCTCCCAGGCTGGAGTGCAGTGGCGTGATCTCTGCTCACTGCAAGCTCCGCCTCCCGGGTTCATGCCATTCTCCCGCCTCAGCCTCCCGAGTAGCTGAGACTACAGGCGCCCGCCACCACGCCCGGCTAGTTTTTTGTATTTTTAGTAGAGACGGGGTTTCACCGTGTTAGCCAGGATAGTCTCGATCTCCTGACCTTGTGATCCACCCGCCTCGGCCTCCCAAAGTGCTGGGATTACAGGCTTGAGCCACCGCGCCCGGCCAGAAGGCCTTTTTTTCACCACTGTCTCATGGACCACATTAACCCTGAGGTTCACCCTTCACTCCCATCTCCAAGAAGCTCGTCATCTCTCCTAGGCTGGGAATGAGAAAGAACAGCCTCATCCCATCCATCAGCATTTAATTGCTGGTCAGATCCCTGGTGGAAGGTTTTTCGTTTTTGCTTTTTTTGTTTTGCAGTGGTGGTGGGCAGTGTTAGTTGAATCTCTATAGGGCAGGAAGGGTCCTGGCAGCTGGATCTCCAGCATCTGTCTGGCAGCCGAGCTCACACTACCCGTTAGCCTAAATTTCTATTCCCAGCCCCTGTCCCTGTGTTTATAATGAGCCCAAGGAGGCCAGACCTAGGCAGGCAGAGAGACTCTGCCTAGCACTGCCCTGGCAAGGTCCTCTTGAGGGTTGCTCTGCTAGGAGATTTGAGAGCAGCTGAATCCCCAGCTCTTGTGGGTCTGCTCTTCAAAGCTCAAAGCACATCCAGTGAGAGCCTAACACTGTTTGGTTCTTTGCCTCTGGGGTAGGGGAGAGGCACCTCAAAGCAGGGCCTCCGCTGTTTAGAATCCCCATTCTGGGGGACACGCCCTTCCCTCTTCCCTAACCTAGAGATCTGGTGTGTGTGCTGGAAGGCAGTTTATACCCTTCCTCTGCAGGGGCAGACTAGAGCAGGATGGAAGTGGGAGAAGAGACCCAACCTTTTCTGGGTCCTGTGGAGGTGTTCTATTTCCTGAGGCCACAGCACGCTGGCACATGTAACCCTCTGCTTAGCATGGTCTTCCCTCCTTTCTTGTCTAGTCAGCTCCTAGCACCTCTTCAGAGCTCTTTTTTTTTCTTCCTTTTTTTGAGACAATTTAACTCTGTCACCCAGGTTGGAATGCAGTTGTGTGATCACGGCTCACTGCAGACCCCCCGGGCTCAGGTAATCCTCCCACCTCAGCCTCCCAAGTAGCTGGGACTACAGGCATGCACCACCACACCTGGCTAATTTTTGTATTTTTAATGGAGACAGAGTTTTGCCATGTTGCTTAGGCTGCTCTCAAACTCCTGGGTTCAAGTGATCCGCCCACATGGCCTCCCAGAGTGCTGGGATTACAGGCACAAGCCACAGCCTCCCTCTTCACATCTCTAAGTGTTACTTCTGCAGGGAAGTCTTCCCAGACCATTTAAGTCCCCCTGATAGGGGTTTATTTATTTGTGTGATTATTCACATTCAGTAAATAATCATGAGGGCCTTGTTTATTCACTGATGTACTTCTGTGTTTGTTTGGTTGATTGGTTTTTTTGAGCCAGAGTCTTGCTCTGTCGCCCAGGCTGGAGTACAGTAGCACAATCTCGGCTCACTGCAACCTCCACCTCCCAGGTTCAAGTGATTCTCCTGCCTCAGCCTCCTGAGAAGCTGGGGCTACAGGCACTCACTGCCATGCCCTGCTAATTTTTTGTATTTTTAGTAGGGACAGGATTTCACCGTGTTGCCCAGGCTGGTGTTGAAATCCTGAGCTCAGGCTATCCGCCCGCCTTAGCCTCCCAAAGTGCTAGGATTACAGGCGTGAGCCACCGCACCCGGCTCACTGATGTACTTCTATCACATAATTAGCGACTAAATAAATGTTCCAGACTACATCAAGCAGAGCCTAATGTAATGTGGGGGAGGAGAGAGACCTTGGCCTGAGGAGGCAGACAGACAAAGCTGTGGCTGTCTCAGGTGTGCCATTTTCTCTCTGGGACCCTCGCTGTTCTTATTTGTAAATAGGAATAACAATAGTCTCCAGTTCACAGAGTTGCCAGATCTAGGGGATCAGCTGCTGGTGCCAGTCAACAGAAGGAGTTCAAACAAGTTCATTCCCACCTCACCCCATTCACTCAGGGACCCCCACAAGGCCTGTCCTTGAACATCTGAAAGCCCATGGAATATTCTTGAAAGCCACCTGGGACCATTGCGAGAACCCAGGTCGAGAGGTGACAGGTCCCAAGTGACAGTCTCAGCTCTGCTGCATCCAGCTCTGTGACTTTGGACCAAGTGTTCCCACCCTCAGTTTCCTCAAATTTAAAATGGCAGCTGTCAATACCTACCTTATACAGTGATGAAGAGGGTGATATGAGCACTCATCTCAAGCTCCCAGATCAGGTCCTAACACATATGAAACAAATGTCAGTTTCCTTCTTTACTTCTTTCTTCTGTCTCACAGGCTGTGTGGCTGGGGACAAATTACACTTCTCTGAGCTTTGGTGGTTATACACATCTTGCCAAGTTGTAAGAGTCAAGTCAGAAATATGAGTGAGAACCCAGGTACGGTGGCTCATGACTGTAATCCCAGAACTTTGGGAGGTTGAGGGGGGCAGATTGCTTGAGCCCAGGAGTTCAAGACCGGCCTGGGTAACATAGTGAGACCCCGTCTCTACTAAAAGTACAAAACAAACAAACAAACAAAATAGCCAGTTGTGGTGGCATGTGCCTATAGTCCCAGCTACTTGGTGGGCTGTGGTGAGAGGATCACTTTAGCCTGGGAAGTCGAGGTTGCAATGAGCCATGTTTATACCACTTCAGTCTGGGTGACAGAGTGAGACTCTATCTCAAAAAAAATTAAAAATTAAAAATTAAAAAAAAAAGAGAAAGAAATACAGAAAGATGAGTGAGGGCCAGGTGCAGTGGCTCACGCCTATAATCCTAGCACTTTGGGAGGCTAGGGTGGGCAGATCATTCGAGATCAAGAGATCGAGACCAGACTGGCCAACATGGTGAAACTCCATCTCTACTAAAAATATAAAAAATTAGCTGGGCATGGTGGCATGCACCAGTAATCCCAACTACTTAGGAGGCTGAGGCACAAGAATTGCTTAAACCCAAGAGGCGGAAGTTGCTGTGAGCCAAAACTGCACCACTGCCATCTACCCTGGGTGACAGAATGAGACTCCGTTTAAAAAAAAAAAGATGAGTGACAAAGATTATGAATCCAGCTGCCCCAGCCAGGTGAGGCATTGTCACTGTGTCCACTCCTGCTTCCCCTGACCCCCTTTCCTGTCCTGTGTCTCTCCTGTGAGGCCACCTCTATTTAGAGACCCCACAGACAGCTCAAGCTCCTTCAACAGAGCGAGGGCTTTGTGCACTAGGGCAAGCTTCATGCCACTTACTTCCTAGACTTCTGCCTAGTCCCTGGGGGCCAAATCCAAAGGTGAGTATGGGCAGAACCTAGGGGTCCTCAAGGGAAAGGAGAGAGATTATCTCAACCAGCCAGAGATCCTGTGACTGTGGCCTCTGGCCAGGGGTGGGGATTGCTGTGAGTAGGGTGTGGGTTGGAGGAGAGTCTGGGCCTGGGTGGGATAGTCAGGGGGCCCTGATAAGCAGACACTGGGCTATCAGGGTGGGGGGCCCAGCAGCCTTCTGTTTATCAGGAGTCAGCAGGGGTCAAAGCAGGGCTGAGGACACTTCACTTCCCGCCCAGGGCTGTCTTCCTGGATAGTTGTTCTTCCATTTCTCTGCCTCCCCAGTACCCCACAGGGAGTTGGAATGTGAATCCCTCTCCTTCTCTGCAAGTCACACGGAGACTCTCTAGCCAGTACAGGGGTGGGAGGACACGAGCTAGGGCCTTAGGCCTGACTTTTAAATTCTGACAGCTTTTGCTTCAAACCAGGAGCTCCGTGTCTCTCCTGAGGCCAGTGAGGCAAGTCTGGGGCCTTTGTCCTTCTAACTTCAACCCCTGCCACTGCATCTTTAAGCTCTTGATTGTTCTTTAGGTCTTTTTTGGAAGAAGTCCTAAAGTGTTTGGTGATTGATGAAGTTAAGGATGGTCAGATCTGCACAGGTCCTTCAAAATCATGGAGTTCAAGTCTCCCATTTATATAGGAGAGAAACTGAAGCCAGAGAGGAGGAGAGAATTGTTCAAAGCTTGCGGGTTCCCTCCACCTCTCAGCATCGGGGAACAATGCATGACTCAAAGAGGAACAGGAAGCAGCCGTAGACACTCACAGACAGATACACATAATGTGCAAAGCACACACATACAAATGCACACATGTGCACTGCCCACATGTACGCAGACATATAACACATAGAGATACGCAGCATACACATTAAAAAAAGAAATTCAGGCCGGGCGCAGTGACTATAATTCCAGCACTTTAGGTGGCTGAGGCAGGAGGGGTCGCTTGAACCCAGGAGTTCGGGCTG